AGGAAGGAAGGAAGGAAGGAAGGAAGGAAGGAAGGAAGGAAGGAAGGAAGGAAGGAAGGAAGGAAGGAAGAAAAGCACTCACTCAGGAATTCCTTATTGTCCTAATTCAGGTAAACTGGTCTTTTTTGAGTGCTTCTTGTCAGTCTTACTTTTAAGTAAAACAAACAAACAAATAATGGTGTACTTGAAGATTTACCTGTTTTCTTAAGGTTTTTATTTAACTTCATAGCTTAAATGGGTGATTTTATTTTGGTTTCTGCTGAATCCCAGTGAAGGAAAGTTTTCTAAAACAATATATAAACATAGTATATCAGGATCTCTGATTCATATTATAAATAGTCTCTTTAGTTTTCAAATGGTACAAAGTACTACCAGCCCTGGCAGACTCAAGTTCTGTGAATTCATGACTGCAACTGCCTAAAAATTCATCTCATAGTCCTTCCAAACATCTGGGTTTTACTTTCTTGCCACCTCCTATCCTATGATGTTCTATGCGCTTTCAAGGGGCTTGTAAATAGTCCCCATTTTGAAAAGGTCACTCAGCAGCCACTTATTCTCAACTCTTTAGGCAGCAATGAGTCTCTGCATTAATATCTGTTTGCTGAAAAAAAAAGTTTGTCTGATCAAGGCTCAAAACAATATATCTATGGTATATTTATGAGGCAGTTTGGCAACATTTCCCTTTAGTAAATGAAAAGCACTGGACTCATTCCTGAGCTTTATAACCTCCCCAGCCATGGGTCTTTGACCAAGTTCATGTTATCAGGCAACAGCTCCCTCCTAAAATACTAGGCAGATTTTGCCTAAACAGTGGTTTTGGAATGCACAGTATACACATCTGGGCAAGACTATTGATGACTTTTTCTCCCCCATCTATTTGCATAGAGCCATCTGGAGGTATAAAATCTAGCCAGCAAGGAGGCAGCTTCTATTTCAATTCCAGCCTTCATTTTGTCTTCCAGTCAAGCAGTGTAATATCATCGACAGTAGGATCTGAACTTGAATCCCCACAATGCCTATGTGGACCCTTCAGTGATTATTACTTTTCTGGTTCTTTGAACACATGATATGTCTTTCTGAATACACATAAACTTCATTGTTCAAATTGCCAATGTAGTGAATAAATAAAATCTATTGACACTCCTACATTAATAAAGCCATTAAACCCTATTCTCCCTCCTACTTTTCTGTGTCCCTGTGTGCTTTATGATATCCAGTTTATCAAAGACTGAAAGTTGTATGTCAGAAATCTTACATTTTCTGTTCAATTCTTTGGGCTGCCTGATGAGTTGTCTTCCAAATCTCACCCCTCTGATACTAATTCTAATGTACATATGCATTGCTGTGTCATGCCATGCATTTCATCCATTAAGGCTAAGGGACTAGAGTTCATTTATCAAAGTGACATTCTGTCACCACACGTCACTTCTGCCCCACTATCTAAGAGATTGCCTTCATTTCTCTTTTTGTTTGAAATTTTCCCACATATGTGCTAAAATAGTGACCGGCACTATCATCTAAATGTTTTAGTGAAACTGGCCACTGTGAAGATTTTCTTTCCATAAAATTTATGAGTAAGAACATAAATATTTGGAAGTATAATCAGATTACATTGTGTGCAAATAGTTGTACACAACATTGGTTGTTACCTTCAAGCATCAAGGATATCCTGCTTTGTGAGCTCTAGCTTTACACAGTAATAATACAGTTCTGCTACTTTAACTTTTCAGAGAATTTTCCATGTGTATAAGCTTTCAAGAGATTAAAGCAAAAATTTGGTCAACTTTTTATAATTTCTATGACCCAGTTATTCTCCATATAACTTATTTATGATGTTTTTTTTTACCTCTTTGCCATATAGACTGCATTTCATTGTTCTTTTCAAATATATGTTTGTGGGTTTTACTATAATTCCCTATTTTGCTAGATTAATTTCCACATACTTACTCCTCTAAGCTTAATTTTATCTTCTCTTTCTCCTGAGGGTTTTTTTGGTTTTCTTTTGTTTTGTTTTGTTTTGTTTCGTTTCATTTTGTTTTGTTTTGTTTTGTTTTGCTTTGTTTTTTGAGACAGGGTTTCTCTGTGTAGCTTTGTGCCTTGCCTGGATCTCACTCTGTAGACCAGGCTGGCCTCGAACTCACAGAGATCTGCCTGCTTCTGCCTCCCAAGTGCTGGGATTAAAGGCGGGTACCACCACCACCCAGCCTGAGTTTTTAATTAGTCACTAGTTTGATCCAAAACCCAAATGAGGCTCAGCATTTATATTGTTAGGAGAGATATTCTTCTCCATGACATAGCCATTCCTCAGAAAAGCTTTGATAGAAAATTGCACATAGTATTAACATCTTGATTGGATGGATATTCATCTTCTTTTTGTCTATTTTTTTAGTTTATATTAACATTAATCATCAGCACTTTATATTGGATAAAAACATTGCTCAAGAAGAATGAGAATCAGAGGAGTTGTCTAAAAATAAAAGATAACAGTAGAAACACAAATATTATTGATATGTTATCATTCATCATTAGATTATATAAATCAAATCCATTAATGTCCACAGTTTTACAAGGCTTTTCTTTGTACTTCTGCTGTCTTAATTCTCTCTTGATATGGTTTAGAAAGAATTATGAAAGACAATCTATGTTATAAAAAACAACATATTATAATTATATTTTGGCATCCATAATGAAAGGCCCATGCTATGCTCTATTCTTTTAATTTTTTTCTCTATTTCAAAGTGACATTATTGTTAGAGGATTGATAAGTGTATTATAAAGGAATGACATACTCTTTTTTCATAAAGTTTACATATGTACTTTAAAACTTCTTATAGCATAAAATTTAGACTTTCAGTGGCTATTGTTTCTAAAATTAAACACTTAAGAATAACTATCAGTTATCATAATATAAATTATGTCAATATGATGTTGTGACAAAATCTTCAAAGAAGCAATTTATTCCGAGACTCTTCTCTCAATACAAAGGCAGAAAAAAGGATGGACATATTTGGGAATGTTTGAAAACTATATGCAAGGCAATAAAATATTTAAAGTAATTATCAGGTTATCACATGTTTTCAGAAAGAAATATCCTGAAATTTTTTATTAGAATTGAAAGCAAAATATAATAATCAGATTGTTTAAATCAAAAATAAATTGAGTGCTGCCTGCAAGATTGACTTTCAGCTTGTGAACACAGAACATTTCAGGTTAGAGAATAGGAAGGTTCATGAAAAATAAGATTATTATCAATGAGATTCAAATACCATTTATAAAAGAAATTTTACAAATCTAAAGTCCAAATGCCAAGGGAAATTATCATTTTGTCTCTGTTACACATTGTGAAAGATAATGCCAAACAATCAAAAGCTGTAAAGGCGTCTTAGAGTTTGGCCAACATTTGGGACTATGAACAATTGCATTCGTTTTACAATGAAAGGGGAAAATACTTCACAGCTAAACTCTAAACACTATAATCTCACTGTAATTTTACAGGTAAAATATACTCACTAAGAAATCATTTAATGAGTTTGCCCTTTTTCAAACTACCTTTCTAGCATGACTACCACTTGACAACTTCCTGGGGAGATTTTTGAATAATACTACTGTTTTGTACTATTAGAAAATATTATCAGAGAGATGGTATAGCACAGTTAAAATAGTTCTATTCAATGTTTTTATTAGTAAACAGAAAAAGCATTAAGATGAACAGGAAAGATTTCATTTTCTTGTAATTTTAAAATTAGCCTTCAATTGGAAAGCCATGTTTTATTGTGAATATCTACATGTAATCATGAACACACTGCTCCACTTTTAGTGTATGGTACACACCTAAAATTATACATACATGCATAGAGGGTTTTGGAAAGAGAGGCTGACAGACAGAATTCTCAAGCTGACATGTGATAAAAATGGAAGTGTTTCAATTCCACAGGAGAATTAATATCAGTTAAAATCCAAAATCACGACAGCTAATATCAAAATTCCCTACTATAGCAACTATAGCAATATTCCCACTATTTTATTCCTATTCATTACAGTATCTTAAATATATTTGAACCATTTACAGATGTTTAATGAACTATGCAAATTACATTTGAGTTCTTCTTGTATGGAGAAAAATGATTAGTGATATTATCCCACTGAGAATTATAAACATTTCCTCTGAATTTACAAAACCAGATGAGTATTTGAACTACCATTATGACACTGCAGATAGATCACTGTACATAAATGAAAAAGCAATTAAAACAAAGTCCTGAAAGCAAAGGCAAGGTTTATTCAGTGTGAATTCCACTTTGCCACTGGTTTTCAAAAGCAATCTAAATGTCAAATTTCTGATGCTAAAATTGGTACCAAGAAAAGTGCACAGCACTAAACTGCTAAGTGGAATGCAGAATTTAGAACAGTAGGTTGTATATAATTAGGAAAGGGTTTGTGCTTCTAAATATAAGAGTCCTACATTCAACATGAGAGAAGAAAGCCTTCTAGAAGGTGGCAGTCTGGTTGCATTTTACAAAGATACTTAAGACAAGTACAGTGGTAACAGCTGAAACATGACTGCTCAGTTAGAAGACACAGGCTTTTCACAGAGAAATGTGTGAGATTCCTAATGGAAGTAACCAGAGGATACTTTAATTTTTCACTTTTCTCTGTCTTAACTATTTTCTCTCCTTTCATTCCAACAGTGTCTTTTAAGACAGAGTTAAGTCAAACATAAAACACTTATGTTACTAAATCTTCTACCCCAACAATTGTTCATTCACTTATCATAGTATTTTAAGTTCTTCAAATAAATAGATGTATAGGAAATAGTCATAGTTTATGAGATGGCCAGTTCAGGCTACCTACCCACTTTTGCTATGATTCTTAGCTGGGGTCATCTTTATAGAGTCATGGGAGTTTCCCTTGTACCAGGTTTCTACCTGACCCCAAAATGCCCCTGTCATCAAGATATCTCTTTCATTACTCTCCCCGTCCATCTACCTCCATAAACCAATACTTCATGTTCTCATCACTGCTGGTCCCCAGTCTACCCAGGAGATCTCTTTTATTTCCACTTCCCAGGGAAATTCATGTGCCCCTCCCCTTGTCCTTCAATGTTACCTAGCCTCTCGGGGGCTGTGGATTGTACCATAGTTATCCTTTATTTTATATCTAATATCCATTTATGAATGAGTACATACCATGTTTGTCTTTCTGGGTTTGAGTCACCTCATTCAGGATGATTTTTTTTTTCTAGTTCTATCCATTTACCTTCAAGTTTCCTGACGTCATTGCTTTTAACAGCTATATAATACTCCGTTGTGTAAATGTACCACTTTTTTTTAATCCATGTTTTGGCTAAGGAGCATAAAACTGCTATGAACATAGTTGAGAAAGTGTCCTTGTGGAATGATTGAGCATCCTTTGGGTATATGGCCAAAAATGGTATATCCAGCTCCTGTAATCAGATTGGTGACTACCCCAGTTGTCAGAGAGCCTTCATCCAGTGACGGTTGGAAACAGATGCAGCCAAGTCAGCACTGGGCTAAGCTCTGAGAATCCTGTTAAAGAGAGGGAGGAAGGATTTTATTAGCCAGGGAGTCAAGGTCATTATAAGGGAACCCTCAGAAACAACTAACCTGGGCTCATAGGAGCTCACAGATACTGGACAGACAGCTAGGGGGGCCACAGGGGACTGACCTAGGGCCTCTACGTATGTGTGACAGTTGTGAAACTTGATCTACTGGTGGAACTCCTAGTGGTGGTAACAGAGCCTATCTCTAATGTTTTGGCTGGCTTCCAGGAACCTATTCCTCATACTAGGTTGCCTTGCGCAGCCTTAGTACAAGGGGAGGCACTTATTCCTGCCTCAACTTGACATGCTATGCTTTGTTGACACCCATGGGAGGCCTATCCCTTTCTGAACAGAAACAGAGGAGGAGTGGATTTGGGGGAGTGAGGGGGAGGAGGAGAGGGGAGATAATGGGAATAGAAGAGGGAAGGAAACTATGGTTTACATGTAAAATAAATGAATAAATTAAATAAAAAAGAAATGGTCATTGTTATTATAGGAATAAATACCAATTGCAGAGGTAAATGATAAATATATATAAATGAATACTAAAATATTAGTACATAGACATAAAATAAAGACAATCAGATAAAAAAAGTTACTA